CAATAACTGAATATAGACGACTGTGCAGAAAAATATATTATGTGTACGAGACGTGGGTAAATGCAGGCCACACAGTTAAAAAAACCTGGATAGACAAAAATGTACTAAGTAGCCGACAAGCAAGCATTGCAGGTCTGTCAACAGGTCTTCGTGCACTGTCAGGAAAAGGTCAAAGATGGATAGTTACAGATGTTGGCAGCGATAGTGGCTTTTTGGAAAGATGCAGCTTGACCTTCATCTCTAAGAAAGGAGGTGATTACCATGACGAAATGAATGCCAGTTGCTACGAGAGCTGGTTTCAAGGGGTGCCGCAGCGAGTTGAACCCAAGTCTGTAATCGTCGAGCCGAACGTGTACCAAATATGGGGTCTTGGGAAAGTGAGATGCCGCAGTGGTTGCGCGAGAAGAGCATTCCGTTTGACGGTTCATCTGTGAAGGCGGAACTGTACGAAACAACTGAACATCACAAACCTGTGAACATTAGTTACGTGATTGATGAGATGGCCCGTCATTACGGTGTCACGATGCTACGTTTACTGCCCTACCATTGTGAACTGAACCCAATACAGCTCGTGTGAAGGGTTATATTGAGCACCACAACACAACTTTTAAATTACCAGAGGTCAAGGCTTTGCTGGAGAACTCCATACAGCTAGTTACACCTGAAGCGTGGCAGAATGCTGTCCGTCATGTTGTGAAGGAAGAAACAAAAATGTGGCAGCTTGACGACAACATCGACACCACGATGGAGCCAGTTATGGCCAATCTTGGCGATAGCGACAGCTTATTACTTTCAGATGGAAGTGGAACCGACGACGAATGGAGAGAGGTAGACTCAATTAGCTCATGGATAATCGAAAAAAAACTGACAAGGGTATCTCCAAATTGCTGATCTATAACGTCTTTTATATCAAACATGTAAAAGAAATCAAGCTCACTGCCTTAAAAATGTAAACCCCGCCACTGACAACCCGACTGCCGGTGGCTGGGTAATGTTCACGTGAACATTGATGAGTCATTACAGTTTTAGATAGTTATGGTATAGTGTATGTTAGATCTAGGAACGACGACTTGAGGTGTTGACCGACCATAACGTTTATAATACGAGAAATTCGTCAGTTTTAATGATACCGACTCACAGGTTGCCCTCTACAGAGAAAAGCCCATGGGAATAAGGGTACTGAATAGACGGCCACAGGGTCTAGGAAATTCATCACTAGGTATATTTAAGAAAAAAATCACTCTTCCGATAATCATACTATTTTCTCAATGAATATCTTAACGATGACAATATCCATTCTATTTGATTTCTATCAAGATTAATTTTGTTATTAAGTCAGTTATTTATATACACATATTAACAGCATAGATTTTAATTCGTTGAATCTTTATAAACATATTTATCCAGGAAGCCACTACTGGTCACTCATTTGTCGCACATGGGTTGACACTGGTACATTATTGAAACATGAATTTTATCCATACGCTAATTTCTGTAAAAGAGTGCTTTTGCACTTAGGGCTTAAATGTCAAATAGCGCAAAAATGTTTTAATGAATTTGTGTCAGCTCCTTTCCATCCATGAAATCAATAAAAACATCAAAGCTCTGAGCTCTTTTCATCGCAGATTACTTTCTCTAATTTAGCACCAAAAGCGACCCGCTTTTTTCGACGTCATTTACTTTAAAACCAGCAACTGACAAGAACAAAAAGGGCCTGGATTCATTAATCATTGAGAAACCGTAGCGCATTTTTCAATCGATCAACTTAGATCGTCGCATCGCCACCGCAATTTTGACAAACCACTTAATTTCCGTCCCGACTAGTCTTATCTTATCATCTTGCCCATCCTTCATCTGCCAGTGTTTACATGAACCCAAACATGACAGGGGTCTGAATAAGCTGGGTCAAAGCAGGTCAGGTGTATGAAAATCCGGTAGTCTTATAGTTGTTCAACGGTTCATATTAAGGAGTCAGTATGGTTCTCAAACATAACAAGCCACAAAGGTCAACCCTTGATGGTGAAGTGCGATGAACTTGAGTAGATTTTTTCGGCTTTTGAAGTGACAAATTTTGTTCTTTCTGCATCGTCTATGCCAACATATAAGAAGAAAAGCTTACCGAATCCGTCTTGACGACTGGACACGGAGCAGCTTTATGCAGGAAAGCTCAGTGGAACAATGTCTATTGGAATCTCGTCCGTACGAGATCAATGGATAACAATGAAAATTTGAAGTCGGGCTCCTTGCATAATTATAAGTTAAGTTACAGAGGCTAGTCTCTATTGACTTTACGCCTTAATGCTATTGATGGGTATACTTTGTAGTATAAAGAAATGTCGTATTAAAAATGGAGGTTAAAGCCTAAGTGTTCCCGACTTCGGGGACCGCCTGATAGGAGAGGACCTAACATTTGAAGCTTGGAACTCCACGATATCTGTGAACACCAGTTCTGTACAATCTGAACTATGTTTATTAGAAGAATGACGGAAATGTATTATTCCGCCCAACCAACAATTTCTACCACCCATATCAGCTAAGGGGTCTACCCGTTACCACCGAGAGTATAAGGCCTGACAACAGACGCGTGACGTCACCGCGAGTAGGCCGGTCGCCCGGCCGACAGCACGGCGTGCCGTGCATCAGCGCTAGTGAATAATATATTATTGCAGCATATATAATTCAGAAAAGTGTTTTTGTATATGAAGGCAACTTGGTGGAAAATATTAAAGTAGTTATTAGCTATTTTCACCCTGATTTTCACTGATATTTCATCCAACATTACGTGCACATTAGATTAATAAGTTGATGTTATAAAAGCTTGCTAAAAATGATAAATTCTTCAATGAATAACCCCATGTTAGTCACAACCGATCAACAAAATTTCACAGGAATATGTGGACAATTTACTATTATTATAGGCATAATATAATGGTACCTGAAAATTATATAAAAAATGTAGTGCTTCTATAACAGTTGTGCCCAGCAAGAACCGACGAGGAGGTCTGAGGTAAGCTCTTGCCAGGAAAGAAATAAGGAAGCTGAGGAGGAAAAAGTGTAGGATAAATGATAAGAAAAACAGATAAATTCAAAGTAAAATAAACAACAGAAAAAACATAACAAAGATTAACGAAAACTTAATAAAAACTCTTAGAACAAACAAATAACAACACAAAATAATAACAAAAATTAGGAAACAGAAAACAAGTATCAAAAATAACAAAAATTAGAATAACGAAAATTAAAGTGTACAAATAAACATTTATCTACAGCTATGTAAATGTTGCGGCCTCAAGTGAATGTAGTCAATTTACGTTTCTTTGCTTTATTCGCACTTACAAAGCTGTCGTTCCTTTTGGCACAATAATTTTTCAAAAATGTATTGACTGTGCAAATAACAATTAGTTTTATAACATAATCTGGTGAATGGAATGTGCAACGCGAAAATGTGGTGTCGTGATTATTATCAGTCAGATTGTTAATTATCAACTGAGAAAAACTTTATTGAAAATTATATAACTTAGCATGACAATATTAATAACTGGATACTTTGGGAATTTTAAGCCACCTCTACTCAAATTTTGTATAATATTGTGCTTGTCTTCTATATCAATATCATCTGTGTGTGTCAAATTTTGCTTACAATGATCGCAGTAATTTTTCTTTAATAAGGCATAGCAACAGTAACCAGCTAAGTAGGTGATGACAGGGATTTCATCCTCTATACTATCAATATTAGACTGTAAAATTTCAATTTCCCGGAAAAAGTGGTAATCATTAAAATTATGTGGAATTTCATCTATTTCTAAATCATTATTTTCACAGAATTTATCTATTTGTATATCACCATAGCGAGACTTCAATGACATCAGGCTTTGAGATCGTAACTTTTTCTGAGATTCATATAACTGACGAATTGATATATTATATTGACCCCCTGCCAGTTAACGATACTTTTTTGTCATATTGTATAATAGATTATGATCAATTTTAGAAACAGGACAGATTTGAACAACGTCTTTGAAATTGGAGTAGAAGCTTAAAACCATAAACACATAGGCTGTTGTAGCTAATGAAGTATTATAAATTGACGTTCCAACAATATTACCCCTTTTGAAATCTAAATATGGCTGAATGTGTATTTGATCCATCAAGAAAATCATGTACTCCTCACCAGGTTTCACAAATCTGAAAAGGTTTTTTGCATAGCCTAAAAAATTATATCTCGCATCGGGAACTGGATCGACCACCAATGTATTACATATTGACTTCAGAGTATTTTGGAGTGGTAAAATAAGTGCTCCATGGCTCCTAATAAATCTATATGACTGTGGACTGATTGTATACAACATAGAGCAAAACACTATTGTTTCTGATGAGTAACTGTGTCTGTTCTTCTGACTAATAGCAAGCTTTAGTTGCTCACAAATAAATTGAATGACAGTGTGTGTCTCTTCATCGGTGAATAGTTCTGTGCTATTTAAAATATTGTAAGCATGGTTGATAGTGGCTCTGAACTGGTCTTTACCTGAATATTCCCTCGAAGCATCTGCATTCTCAGAAAGAACATGCAGAACATCATCCAAGTGGTGTATGTTAGATAATAAAAATGGAGTTTTAATATTACTTGAGTTGAGTAACAATTCTTGGGAGTACATATACGTTTTTACATTGAGACCTTTATCAACAATTATAGAGTGAGTTATGATGGGTGCTGGTTTATATTCTAACTTAAACAAAGTAACTTTATCCTGAACAATTTTATGCCACCCATATGGACATTGCCATTAACTGAAAACTGTGAGAAAGTCTGAATAATTTTGAAAACAAGTTGATTTTTGGTAGGAGGAATAATCATTGATGCTAGTTTGCAGTGCTTTAAGTAGTTGTTCTTGTTCCTTGTCCCTCAATTTCTCATCTCGGCTTCTTCTGCTTGATATGTCCTTTGAAAGGTATTTTGGACAATTTCTAAAGATACTTGGAATTACATCTGCCTTTAATTTTGGATTCTTAAGGGGTACAGTAATGGTCCTACCTGTATTTTCGTCATGGAAGGTGGATTCCCAAATGATGCTGTCCTCAGCAAAGTGCAAATTGCATACTCGGGTGTTTTTTGTAACCACTAAATCACTACGAGGGATTACACTGAGCCATCTTTTATGAGAGTTTTCATCCAATGGAAACGAAAATACGTGTACCTTCGGACCCTTCCCATAATTACCGACACAATTAGGAACCCAGCACTTGTAAGGCATTTTGAAAACTTAGCTAAACAATCGAGAGACACAAAGATAAGTTTAAAACATCAATAAATTTGAGTTTACATAGCTTAGAATAGAGGATCAGAATGTGAGGTTAGTGGGCAAGGTTGACACATATTCCCATTGTGAATGGAATATTAGACTTCACAAGTGACAGATTGAACGTAATATCGAAAATGTATTCTTGACGTACTGTGGTAGATCAGAAAGAATAATCACATCATCACTGGAGCTGCGCAGGCCCCGAGTACCTACATCTTGCAAATTCGCCCACAGAGAGGTACAGCTAATTAGTAGAGATTTCGATACTGCTATATCAAACCTAGATACGACAACACCCCAGAGAAATGGTGGCGCGATTCTCTTGCCAGCCAGGCATCGCGAAACTCCATAAGAACATGCATAGGCCTACTCTGCGTGACGTCACAGGCTTTTCGGAGCCCAGTTGTTTGGCCTTGTTGTCTCGGTGGTAACGGTCTACCTCATCGACTTTTTTCAACATCTATCTATCTGTTCATTGCTACTTTCAAAATGTACGGGGCTTGAACACAAAAATTAATGACTTTTACTCTTCAATCTTGTCATATGATTATGATTTTGTTGGTCTCGCTGAAACCTGGTTGTGTGGTGATGTGCGAAGTTCGGAGCTATTTCCGCCTGGTTACCATGTTGTGTGGTGTGACCGTGACTTAACAAGAACAAATTACGCGTGTGGTGGAGGTGTGCTGTTAGCATGTAAAGATAACATTTCAAATGTTGAAAATATTAATCTTGAATATATTCGTAACGCTATTTGTTTAATTGATATACTTGGAGTCAAATGTACTGTAGGACTCAGCTCAGTGTACATATATGTTCTTTACATACCTCCCCAAATCACGCTCGCAGACTTTGATATGTTTCTAGAACTATTTTCCCAAACTACATTGAACCAGTCCAATATTTTAATACTCGGAGACTTTAGCGTTGCAAATTTTACTAATGATACTGCCAGGGATAGATTCTCCATGGCTCTTCATGGCTTTTTAGAATATTCGGGTCTTTTCCAAACTAATAGTATATTGAACTCCAGTGGTAGAAAGTTGGATTTGGTTATAGCGAATATGCCTTGTGAAACTGTTCGTCAGAATCTATCATTAATTAGAATTTGAAATTAGTCTTAGAAGTACCTCTAATTTTGTCACAAATATTACAAGCACAGCTTACAACTTTAAGAGAGCTAATTTCATAGGCCTCTACAATGCTTTCACTTATGTTGACTGGTCTTTTCTCGATAGTGTGGGGGATGTTGATCAAATGTGTAATTTATTCTATGATAAGCTGTATCACATATTTGATTTGTATGTCCCTTAGTATATTAACCGTAAGCACTATTATAAAAAATGGATAGCTCGGAACTAATTCGAAATATCAAATTAAGATGCAAACTACATAATCAATACAAGCGGCTTAAATCAAGGGAAGTATATGAGCAATTTTCAAGGGTCCGAGGACTTGTCAAACAACAAATAAAAGGTGCTTACAATCAATATTTGCTGAATGTCGAAACCGAATTGATCCCAAATCCAAAGCAGTTTTGGCCATTTACTCAATCTAAGAAGGGTTCATCTAGAATACCTGGTCGGATGACTCTCCGGGATGAAAGTTTTGATACCCCACATACGGTTATAAATGCATTTGCTGATTATTTTCAAAATGTTTATGTCCATAAAAATTCAAGCCAGCAACGTTATCTGGATAGCCAACATGATTGCGTTGATATCCTCAACTTTACGGATGAAATTATTTTAAAATCCCTGCTCAAACTACCAAATAAGTTGACCGCTGGGGAAGATATGATACCAAGCTTCGTAGTTAGAGATGCACCCCACGTATTTGTAAAGCCTCTGAAGAAAATATTTAGTTGTGCCCTTATCATAGCAACATTTCCTACGAAATGGAAATCGGCAAAAGTATGCCCTATACTAAAAGCTGGTGACCCATGTAACATTGAAAATTACCGAGCTATTTCCATATTGGACAATTTTGCGAAGGTTTTTGAGATATCAATATACGACTGCATTTACCCTCTAACTAAGCATCTGATATTGGAATCACAGCATGGATTCATGCCTAACCGTTCAACCGTCTCAAACTTAATTGAACTTACTCAGGAAATAGCAGGTGTTTTGGATGATAGAGGACAGATGGATGTCGTCTATACTGACTTCTCAAAGGCCTTCGATAAGATTAGTCACAATAAGATTATTGGAAAGCTGCCATATTTCGGCTTTGGCTTTCGTTTGCAGAAACTTTTCATTTCCTACTTAAGTGGAAGGACTCAATACCTCTCTTATAATGGTTTTAATTGTCTTGTTTATAATGTACCATCTGGGGTGCCTCAAGTGGCAAATCATGGGCCTCTCCTGATCCTTTATTTTATCAACGATCTGATTGACTGTCTCACTTGTCCTAGCTTGCTCTTTGCTGATGATCTAAAGATCTATCTACGAATAAATGTTGCTGCAGACTGCTCAATTTTGCATAATAATCTCGATCGTCCCCCAGATTGGTGCAAGAATAATAATAATAATAATAATCGTCTTTATTGAGTTATTTCTGAGTGTCACAAAATGTAAAATTTGTTCATATACCCGTAAAATACGTCCGATAACTTTTGACAACAAACTGGAGCACGAGAGCTTAGTGAGATGCTCCTAGGTGAAAGATTTAGGTGTTCTGTTTGACAACAAATTAGAATTCACCTGTCATATTAATAACATAGTTACGTCCGCTATGAAGACTCGGGTTCTTGATAAGAAACTGTAAATCTTTCTCTAGTGAAATCGCGGTGGAAGCGCTATACTGTGCGCTAGTTCGGTCAAAGCTGGAATATGCATCAAGCGTATGGAACCCTTACTACCAAAATCATATTAATACAATTGAGGGCGTGTAGCGCCGTTTTTTGAAGTACTTGACATTCAAATTGGATGGTATGTAACTGATGCGAGGCAGTGATCAAATGACTATGCTGTTTAGATTCGAGATGCAGCCGCATGAGTTAAGAAGAATTAATAACAGTTTTATGGCTTATGGTTTATGGCCTCCTTGATTGTCATAGTTTTCTACTTCTCCGTGTCAGCGCTCTATTTTGAGGTTATGTCACAAATATTAATTTGCATCAAATTGTGCTTGGTTTTGTGTTATATCATGTTTTATCAGCCTGAACATTCCTACAATTTAAAAGGAAAACAAATCTTCACAATAGGAGAGCGCTGACGCTGACACGGGACAAGTGTAATCTAGAAATTTAAGAAGGAGAGAAAGGAGTATGATAATCAAGGAGACCATAAACGCGCCCTACAATTGTAGGTTCGACTGACGATACGGGCCTAAGATTTATAAGCTCGTCCATAATCAAATTGACTCTCCGGCCTTGCTATCCAAACTCAGTTTTCATGTGCCATCTCGCGCTTCACGTAGATGTCCGGTTTTTTATTTGAATACGACAAGATCAAATGTTTTGATCAGGTCTCCAATATACTTTATGTGTTCCAACTTTAATGCAGTATCGTTGAGGTAACGACTAAATCCAATGAATATTACTATCTAATATACAACTTTTGATGTGCATACTTTAATGGTAGTCTAAATGTGGTCATCCTTTTCAAAATATTTTGTTCTATTTTGTATTTACAATTATTTATATTTAAATATTTTATTTTTGTATGTTTTATAAAAACTTTTGTTCTTTTTCACTTATATTGTCCTATAAATGAGGATAGTCTCAGTTGTCAGAAGATGTAGCGCACTGTGGTCTGCTCATACGTGAAGAACGGAATGGGTATGTTCGATAAGATACCGATGTTATAAGATGGAAAGTGACTCTCGAATGAATTTTTTCAATTATCGTAAGGTAATCTACTCGAGAAATCTACTAAAGATGGTATCTTCTAACAGGGTTTCCAAGAATATCATGTCAATCCCTCGTTTAAAGAATCTAATCGTCATAGGTTTTTGTCTCTTTTCAATAGCTCTGAACTTTTAACGATACCTCGACAGCCTAATAACTAGTTGATGTCTCACATGAAAAACCAACTTCCGTCAACGTCCCTTAAGGAGCTGCATATCTGTAAGAGAACTCCGCAGAGAAACTTTTGGCGTTATTTTTTGTTTTACAATACGTTGGGGTTTTCCTTTTCAGAAACAACTACCCTTGAAATAACAAAGGTGTAGTGAAACGAGGGCAACCAAGTAAAAAAAAATAAAGGAAAAAGTACTCACTCTCCAGTTGACGAGAAGGGCTAAGTACGTCTCTGCCCGAAATCATACCGCTCCAACAGAAAATAAAATCAGCCGATGCGCTACCGGGCAGACGCAGAAACCACATTGATTGTCTTACACTTAATGGCACATCTTCTAACAAGGAAGGCAAAATGTTGCGTAAAAAGTCTAGGTATTGCATCCCGTCCAATCGATTTGGGAGAATAAATGATCCAATGAGCATACCGTTCACCATGCCAGCCCAAACATTCACCGAAAATGTTTGTTGAAAATGTGCCCGACTGACAGCGTGCGAATTATGCGTGAACGTAGATTCCTCTGTCACCAATATGCACTTCAAAAAGTCCGGATTATTGTCATGTTGATGCAACAACCACTCACAAAACCACACTCTTGCTGGAAAATCGTCAGGTTGAAGGGCTTGTACACGTTGGACGTGAAACGGATACAGCCCCTCTTCACGCAGCGTTTGCCACACTTCAGTTTTTGATACTTGCACTTCTCTAGCCACGTCTCTAGTGCTTGTTGAGGGATTCTCGTCTACGCGATTACCTGTACACGCGTGACCGTAACCGTCGGTTGAAGGTTGCATACTGACCTGACACACTGACCCCGACCCAGTTCTGTCGTCGGGTTGAGTCAGTGACCTTGTACCAGTCGGTGATGTCGCGGCTACAAGACGGTATTCAGATATTTTTGATGTTGCAGAGCCCTTTATCTCGGTTCCCTTAAGACATTGGTGTATATGGTACTAAGAAAAATTTCTTGTTTTCAAGATCTACACGTCGTGTAAAGGAAAACCTCAACTTTGCGGACACCCTGTATATAAATGTTATTCAGTATGGTAGGGAAGACGGAGATGGTTGACTATAGGGGTAGGTGAACTATCCACCAAAAACTCGTCAACGATATGAGTATTACGTCATCCCGGCCCAGCCGCGCATTACTCTCCGACCCCCGCTCACGCTCAGTCGACGGAGGGCCACGTCGCGGATGCACGCCGTTTTCGAGCAGTGACACGTAATTTGTTTTCGTATCATGTAAGTAATATATATTGCATATTTTTCCATCTGACACTTACTCGTTTTATGTTAGCCATTTGCCTATTAGTCAGAGTGTTTCGTGAGTGCATATTGATAATATTTCATGTATTATTTCTTAAGGTGATGGAGTGTTTAGGTAACCCATGCCATTGAAACTTAAAACTAACCTAAATATAATTTGAAGCTTAAAATATCTCGTAAATTAACCTCTTATTCGTGTTTTAATATTCATTTTGTTACAGTACAATGAGGACCTATAAAAGAAGGACCGAACGAGCT